TTTATATTACAATTGCATGTTTTTTCTACTGGCCCGGATTATGGACTGCTAAAATGGACGAAAATGTTTTTATAGGAAAACCAAAAAAATATGAATCAGCAAGTCGTTGCTCTTCATAAGCTTCCGAAATGAATGTTGAAGTGGAAATATATAGAAAAAATCTCGCCTCCTTGTGTATATTCTCATTTGTTTATACTATACTTAAATTAGAATGCTTTATTTTTTTTTTGTTCAGAAATTAGTGACAAAATGCGGAATATTTATTTATTATCAGTAATTCAAAGTTAAAATAATACATAATAAATTATACTTGTACATACAGTATTGGCCAATACAATAGCAGCACCCCCATTTCAAAGTGATATTGTTTCCCACTCAGGCTTATTTATTTATTTTTAGGAATGTTCAATTAAAATGCAATTCATTCTATAACAAAACCCATATTAATTATTAAGTTTAAAATTTTTTTAGAAAACTACAAAAAAGTTCAACAAATGTTCACTAAAATTTCAAACTTTTTCCCAGAAGTGTTAGAATTTTTTTGAGTACACAATTTTATAGCCTATTCATATTTTTTCGCCGAAGGTGTTGCGGGTTTGTTCCACATAAAAATAAATTGTGTTTATTCGTTATATGGAAGCAAATGCGACAAAAAAAAAAAATAAAAAAATTAACGGTAATTTTTAGCCACTTGAAACTTGCACATTGTTAGACTAAAATTGAATGGGCTATAAAACTGAGTACTCATAAAGTTCTAACACTTCTGAGAAAAAAGTTTGAAATTTAGGTGAAAATTTGTTGAATATTTTTGTAGTCAAATTTATTTTTTTTTAATTATAGGACCTGCGCCAATCGATAGAAAACTACTCTGAGATAAAATCTCCACTTTTTCCTTCCTTCAAATTCGTGTCCTTTCCATGTTTAAGAATGTATTCCGGAATGTTTGAACCCTTCTTAGATCCTCATTTGTTCTATTCAAAACCGTTAACGGTAAAAAATTTTAATCGAAAGGACCTAACAACTCTGAAATTACCCGGAAATAGCCAAGATTTGAATACGATAGAGAAATACTAGGCTATTTTTAAAAAACACTTTAACAATAAAAAAACCTCGGATTAATACAGAATTGAAAAAGGCAATCTTAAAATGAGATCATAATAATAATTTTTTTTTTTTGGCGCTTACACTATTGCGAGGTGTTTGGCCGTGCTTCTCCTCCTATTTGTGGTGTGCGCTCTGCAGCTATAGTCCAAATGGAGGGACCTACAATTTTTATGCCGCCTCCGAATAATCAAATGGTTTTATGAGAAGCTTTTTCAAGGCAGAAATACACTCTTAGGTTTGCCATTGCCTGTCGGGGGGGCGACCACTGTTGAAAAAAAACTTTTTCTAATTTCGATGTTGGTCGTTGCATTGGTTAATACGCACCTCTAACCACTCAGCCACAGCGGCGGTCGCATCTTTAATGAAATATCAGTTCAATGTTACAATGCTCCTAAAAACTCGATGACGGCAAGGATTTAAACTTTTATAAAGGCAAGTGGGGACTATTGGTTAAAGTTCTAAGTGTTCTTTATATTATTTTGCCATTTTCAATACTTTCGTTTGTCAATTAACACTTTTTAACACGAATACAAAATGTGTTACTCATACGCCATGTTGCACAAATACAATTTTTTAGTTCTGTATCTACTAATTGAGGCCGTCGGGGCAGATGTGTGGCCTAACCCAACTTCTTTTGTGTACTTAACTACTCAAAATTGTTTCAAATATTTCAAATATAATTTGTCACATTTTCAACTATTTTAAGTATGTAGTTCAGTACAAAACAAAATTTTTAGGTACGGCCACTTCCGCTCTCACGGCTTCAATTCAAGGCAGTATTTTTTTTTATAAAAATGATAGTATTCCTGTAAACATTCGGACTAATTTAGAGTTAGAAAAGTCTCAGAATTCTGAGTTGAAACCCTCATTATGAGCTCAAAAAAAAAAGAGTCAGAAAAGAGCATATTTCCTTTCTTAGAAGGGCACGCCTATACGAGTTACCTCACTTTTGTTCAAGTCAGAATCTTATCTTCTGACCGATTTTCGTCGCACATTTTGTTTGGCCAAAGAAGCCCATCAAAAATAACAAAACAATGCAGGTGTCAGTCTGGCTGACTGATCTCCGAAACATATTTAAAGAAAGACTAATAAATTCTGAGCACTCAGAAATTTTTTTTAAGGGATATTGGTTTGTTATTTAATTTAATTTTATTTTATTTTTATATATAGTGGTATTCACCAAATTGAGCAAGTGGCCTGGCACAGTCTGGCAAAAGAGCAGATCAGGCCAAGCAACGACGGTTGTCAACAGTCGTCAGTTCTTTTTCCAGAATGCCAAGCCACTGGCCATTACCCTACATAGGAGCATATAAATACATATCCTTTATCATCACACATTTTCAAATGCCTGAGAAGAGTGGTCTTATAGTTATTGTTGATGTTGACAGTCGAGGGAGTGCCATTTGAAATTTTTCTTCTGACGTTAAGAAACTAGTAAGATTAAAGGCTGTAATCACCCCAGTCGGTACATACTGAATATTTCAAGAGCTTATACTTTATTAACGGTACATACATATATGTGTATGTATGCATGTACATATCGTCGTTTAAAGTACAAAACCGCGTATCGTCATTCTGCAAAATCGCGTAACTGACATTTGCTGCCAAAATTGGATTTGCTCACACAAGCTCTTGGCTCAATCCTTACTACTATACTAGCCAGAAATGCGATTGCTTTATAAAAAAAGAGAACCATTTTGAAATATGAGTGTTTTTACTCGCTAAAAAAAAATGTATTCAACCTCACATACGCGGTTTTGCATTTTGTTGAAACGCGGTTTTGTACTTTAAACGTCGATATATAAGTGTGTACGCAAGTCATCACCGCCAGAGACGAGACGATAGTGCCAGTAGGGCTTCAGTTAACTAAAATAAAAACCTTATTTGATGGAAGAGCGTCACAACACCTGAGCTAAAATAAATAATTATTAAGAAAATATGGCAAATACATATCCATATGTGTGTAATATTTTGTATAGCATAAAAGAAGCGTGGGTGGCCATTTCTGCATACTTAGCTCAAATTTATTTTGGTTTGGGACGTTCTTCCAGCAAATTAGCGATATGTGGAATTTAGCAGAAATACCTAAATTCATACATACAAGTATATAAAATATAAATTAATGTGTTGCATTTACATACTTAACTCTTATTTCATTTGCCTTTATTTTCATGTCGCATTGGTCATAGCCAAAAGCTGTTTTCTTTACTTGCATGGACAGTCGGATGATACCGACGCGTTACACGGACACGCACGTCGGCGATATGTTTGTAGGTATGTAGTTTTAAAAGATTAAATACAAAATGCACATACGTATGCATATCGTTAATCTTTAGTTTATTTTTAACCTTCTTATCTTTCCAAATTTGCAGTGCGTAACGCCGGAAATGTGATACCTCATGCTCATCATTTCCAGGATGAATATTTCAGTTGCGAGCCCGCGGCACTGGAATTGGGCTGCGTCGTCAACGATATACGACATATAATCGTGTGCGGCCATAGTGATTGTAAAGCGATGAATTTACTATACAAGTTGCAATGTGAGGATTATGCGTCACAAGTAAGTTTCCTTTTTGTTTGGTTAACGTATTTTTTTTTTAACTTTTTTTATGTAGCTTAATCGACGTCTATCGCCACTTCGCTCCTGGATGTGGACACACGCCAGCAGAAGTCTCGAACATTTCAAGACCTGGAAAGAAAACGGAATGAAAGGACCTCTGGTATTCTCCTCTGAAACACCATTACGTCGTTTTGTCGCTTATATCGATCCAGAAGATAAGTTTGCCGTAGAAGACAAACTGTCACAGATACACACCCTGCAACAGTTGTCCAATGTGGCTTCGTATGGCTTCTTAAAACCACGACTTGAGTCACATGATCTTCATGTACACGCGTTATGGTTTGATATTTACACTGGTGACATCTATTACTTTAGTCGTGGTGCAAAACGTTTTGTTCAAATAGATGAGAGCACAGTGGGCAAGCTGACAGAGGAAGTGCGTCGTTACTACTCATGACAACCTCAACTAAATGTACGCATGCATGAGACTGGTATAGGCTCCTTAATAATTGCATGCTGACTGTGATAGGAATTTGAATATTTTGCACCTGAATGCAAACTGAATACCTGTACATTACAGGCCAATATTTTTGAATTTGAATTTGTTGAATTTCTTATGTACACTACTTAATATGTGAATGAGTGAGTAGAATTTGCACATATGTACATATATATATAGGGATAAGGGCATTAAAAATGACCGATGTACAGAAATTTTATATGGAAAGTTAGTAAGAAACACTAAAACTTAGTAATCAAAGAAACGCTTATGTAGATGTAAAAAGTATTTATTAACCGCTTACATTAACGTATATAGATAGCATAATGCAGTAGTTTTAAACATCATTATTGTAACTATAAAAATATGTGGCATATATGTATGTATGAAGACATTTCTGTACTGTAAACATTAAATTTATAATAAAGAGCGCAAATGCTTTCAACTTTCAGTTAGCAACAATTAATAAATTTCAAGCACTTACATATAAACGTTCGATGATATAGTACTTGTTGATAAGTATGCGCCACCAATAAGGGGAAAGAAATGAGCTGGAGCTTGCTTTGAAGCTTTAATTTTTAGGAAAGACTAATTTCTTTGCTAATTTAGGTATCCTTGACATACTGCAGCCAATTTTTATAAAAAATTCAAAGCATCAATTTGCCTGCTTCCACAATTTTTGTGTGCTTCATTATGTACAACATTTTGTTTCAATATAAAGTCTAAACTGAACGGCCCTGACAAATAATTTCGTCGTTTAAAGTACAAAACTGCGTAACGTCATTCTGCAAAATCGCGTAACTGACATTTGCTGCCAAAAATTGGAATTGCTCACGCATTGCTCTTGACTCAATCCTTATCCATTCGTCCTGAAATATATTAGCCAGAAATGCGGTTGCTTTATAAAAAAGAGAACCATTTTGAAATATGACTGTTTTTACTTTCTAAAAAATAATTTATGCAACCTCACATACGCGGTTTTGTACTTTAAACGACGATATGTATGTTTATTTGCGCACTGGCTGCCACCCTATCTCCTTCCTTTCCCTCTCATTTACAGTGCATTGCATCTTACACCCTATGTCAGTGATACTGATGATGATTCATCGCGTTGCTATTTGGATTTTCCAATTCTTCAAATGATTTGCGCGCATTACGTATGTTAACCAATGTCGCCTCAGAAGGTATTGTTGGATCGGACATAACAACCATCACGTATGTGTTACTTGTAAAGGTATCTATGAAAGCAGCAAAAGCGCTGTTACGCACTTCCATTGATTGAAATTTGGCGCCCAATTTTGAGCAACTTAATTTAAATTGTTTTATTATGTTGGAGACTTTTTCAAAACGATGCGAGTCGCGATTCTTTTTACTCTGGCAATGTGAAATCACTAGGAAGGTAGCCTTTTCGAAGAGCAACACTTCATCGGCTTCAATAACATTGGCGAAGTGGGTGAGCGAGTTCTCGAGCACCGCAACGTTGGGGATAAGCATGGTGACAATGCTGGACCAAGCTCTGTAGTTAAATGCAGCACATATAGCGTGCACTGTTCATATGAGTATTTTATGTAAGTATGCAGAAATAATCCTACCTGTATAATGTTTCATCCCAAATGCTGGTGCGAAAGCAAGTAACGTTGCCCGGTTTTGAAAGACGTATCAGGTCATGCTCACGCTCCTTGAACAAAGTTTCCCGCTGTTCTTCAGCCACTAAATCCATCTTGTGTATTAAACAAAATATTTTTGCTTCTGGTGAATTCTGTAAATAGAATAGTAATTAATCGATTGGGCAATGAGCTTGTACATATGTATGTACTACATACTTGTAGCAATGCTTCCAAGCACGATTGATAGTAGTGAACATCACGCTCCATGTCGCGACTCTCCACATCAAATACATAAATAAGTACTTCCACATTACGAAAGATGTTGTCTCGCTGTGAAGCAAAATATTGCTGCATAAAGCCCTCTTGGCCACCACAATCCCACAAGTTGAGTACTAGGTTCCCCAAAAAGCGTACATGTGAGTGCTCTACGTCAACTGCCAAAACAAAAATTTGTAAGATTTAGCATTTGCATAGTACAAAGGACTAATTTAAATTTAAAAATTAGTAAATTCGTTTCCAGCTGTCTGCATTACTTACTGGTTGCACCCAGCCGCGTCGTATCTCGCGCTATGTAGTTGGCAAATATTATCGAACGCATGCTGGTTTTGCCCGAGCCACTTTTGCCCATTAGTAAAACCTTTTTCTTCATTTTTATTTTGTTTGTCCTGTACGGCTTGTATAAACACGTTTAGTAATTCTGATGTAAAAATAATAACTTTTCGAATCCCAATCGTTATCCGCAAAAAATTAATTCACCCAATTGGACTGATAATCATCAATTGGTGTTTTGACAGCTGAAACGAAAACAGCTGTTTGGATCGTATTTGCGTGCTGCCGTACTATTGAAGTGAGCAGAACTCAAGGAATTAAAAAAACGAAAATTATTTGGGGTATTCACAACGGTGTCGTAAGAGTCGTCAACAGAAACGTTTGACTTTTTTGGTAAACGCTAAAATTAGCCTTGCAATGCATCCTTGGATCAAGGTCTTCGATTTTGTCAGCCAAAATGTAAAATAGTATAAATGCATTGGCAAAAACATAAATAGAGACGGGACATTTTAACAAGTTTTAGCTAATATTGTTTTGTTTTTTTTATGTTTATTATTTTTTTATGTAAGTATATGTAGTTCGTTATCTCAAAAAAGGGTTGGCTTTCCAAAACGGAAACGGAAACTTGTGAGGATGTTTGGGAGAGGCTTACTCTACATGAATATATATGACTCTCACAAAGTAGTTGCTAATAGTATTTAAGCAATTTGTTGTAGCCCCAGTTGGTGCACACCAAAAGGAGAATTCTATTTGGAAAGGGTTATAATCCTAAAACACGGCCGAAGGCCGCCTACGCAGAAAGGAATTCTACGCAATCATACTGTTATAACATCGATACTTCGATAAATTGCGCTATAAATAATTAAAATTTTTAATAAAACATTATGTGCATTTTTTTATTGGCATTTTTCTGGTATGTATGGCAGCATCGACATCAGTTCAATTGGTGCACAAAGGAAAAAGTGAGGTTGAATTCGGTATTTTTTGCAACTTTAAATGCGAATTACTTAAAAACTTTAAGCCTCAGGGTCTTCAGATTTAGAATCTGAAAAAGCTCCTCTATACTCCCTAATATTTTTTTTCAAAGCCTGGATCCGTTTTTTAAAATTTTCCACAAAAAACCATGCAAGTCAATATTTCAAACGTTTTAAAAAAATTTGGAAACTTCGAATAAGTTGCATCAAAACATTAGCGCACACAAGGGGTGGGTTTTGGGGTTCAAAACCCCCCTAAATCTAATAACCTGAAATGCAAACTGTATGCTAAAGCCAGCTCTCAAGAAAAATAACAAGAAATATTTTTTATTAAAAAGCACTTTGCTTTTGCAGTAAATTTTCTTGAAGAAATAAACATACGAGCATTTTTTTCTTGAGAGATACAAACTGATTTAAGAAATTTTGATAGAAGAAAGTTTCTATTCCATTTCTTCTGCGTCATTTTATATAATTTTTTCGTTTTTCTTGAGAGCTCTTAAAAGTTTAACTTCGAATGAAACCATTGTCTTAAAAATATGCAATGCATACTCACTTACTTTTGTTTTTTACACCTTACAGCCTAAAAGAGTTTACCACTGATATGTACTTAATAAGCATTCGAAGATTTAATTTACTAAATTCGAATTCGTTCCACCAAAATTACCTACATAATAAAAATGAAAGTTCATTTAAATTTTCCGGTAACTATTCGATATATTAAAAAAATTAGGCAATCATGAAAAATCACCATATCAATCGAAAACCAGAAACCAGAAATCGAGAAAAATGAACATTAAAACTATTTTTTAAATTTTTGGATTACTTTTGAAAGTTGAGCGCATCTTGTGTTTATAGAACTTTATATTAAACAAGTAATTTTCAAATTACGGGACGACCCTTGAGGTACCATATTTCCGATAAAAAAAAAAGAATTATTGAAATCGGTTCTCGTGGTCCAAAGTTATGCGGTAGCATACATTAAAAAGAAAAAAATATTCCGACGAACTGAAAACCTCTCCCTTTTTCGAAGTCGGTTACAAATGTTTGAGTTCTTTGCTAATTTTATGTAAATAAAGTGCAATTGACGAAAAAACTGCATAAATGTACCTTAAAGAGCATATTATCTGAAGCGAATTTTCAGAAGTATAAACCCCTCCCAAAATATATTCCTGGGTGCGCCACTGCATCAAAATGTAGAGTTTTTTACTATATTTATTACAAAAAATTTGAGAATGCACTTTTGTAGTCCGTTAAATTTTAGTATAAAATGGAAGTAAATTGAAGTACCTAGGGCTTACCGTTAATTTTTGCAAATTTTCTACATACATACGGCTGTTAATTTTAGGTATGAAGTATTGCTTGAATAACAGCTAAAACGAATTTCGCTTGGTTTGTCAAGCCGATTGTGTAGTTTATTTCGATCTTTATTGTAGAGCTCTAGCTTTGAAGTTATAACTCCACATCACGCTTTTGAAATGTTCGATACTTTGCACGCTCTCTCTCTAGGCGGATTAAACAAGGTCGGTCTGAGCGTCGAAAACTTACAACACCAAAAAAAGAGAGGTGTAGAATTTTTCAATTTTCCGCCGATCCTGAACGCACCCTTTAACCAAAAAATTTTCACTCAAATCTCAACAACCGGAACTCTTTTTTTTATCTAAGATAACCGGTTAATATCCGGATATTTGAATTTATCGTTGCCTTTACTTGTGGCTTACAACGGCGGTTGCTGATAAGTGAATTGTGTTTATAATTGTCTGGACGCATACTTCACAATCTGACAACTACTTAATACATGTCTTATGCAGCATTAGAGAATTTAGTGAGAAGTTAAATTTTTACTGTAGTTCCGTTTTTATTAAGACGTGTGCTATGATGTTCTTTTAAGCCACCTCTACCCCAACCGATTAAAACGCAAGGCACATTTATTGTTATACATTTTATTTGTAATGTTTTTTTTTTTTTTTGTAGTTATTTTCATACTCATGTTGTAATTTTTAATTTATTACTTTGTTTTTCTTAAACTTTTCTGCATATTGGCTCATTTATGTTTTATTGTTTGCTTTTATTTTTACATACCAACTGTTGACTTTTGACTATTTTAATTTAACATTAACTTTATAATTATAATTATGTATGTATGTATGTATGAAGTTGTTGTTGGTTTTTCATACTTCACAACATACACCTTATGGTACATTGTTTGCTTGTTAAGTGTAAGTATGTATGTTCTAAATACATACATAAGTCGGAATAATCGAATTACATATTTTGGGCAACGCAAATGTCGAGCAAACAAATGTAGTAACTATATTTTAAATTTAAATAATAAGATATACTTAATAACGTCAGAGCAAATGAAATCATATTAAAATAATTTAAATTTTTTTTTTAATCCTACATATTTTAGGTTGCCCAAAAAGATGCTTGATAGATAACCTTCATCGCTTTTTTTGCACCCTTTATTTATTTATTTAATTTTTTACACTTATAGTTTCTTTTTTTGCCTAGTGTTTTATCGTCTAAATAATTTATTATTTTTTGTTTTGTTATTTTTCTATATTTCTGTTTTGAATGCGCGTTAAATGTATCGGTGTAGTTGGTTGCAGCAGATTTGCTTTTTTTTGTTATTTATTTTATACACTTTCTCAGTTGGCTAAAGTATTTTTCTTGCTATGTCGTATGCTCTTCTTGCACAAATTTTTCTTTATATTGCACTTGTTTTTGCCTTATTGTTTTTTTTTTTTTTTTGTTACTAGTGGATAGTTTGAGTTTACAATATGCTTAGTTGTTTGTTTGTTTTTATTTGCAAAGGTACATGAAAATTTAATAATGCTGCTTTGGTGATAGAAAAGTAGTAGTTAGTGACTTTGGCAATAATTCATGAAATGTAATTGTTCCCAAATAACATAGTAAATACTTATGGACATGCTTGTATCTATATATGTATTGTATGTATATATACTTATAAGTATGAATGTATGGATGTATGTAGGTTTTGAAAAAATTATATTTCCTAAGTATATAAATAAATAAACTTTAGTTGACACAAGCATGATTTTTTTTTTTTAAATTTTGCTTTCTTTGTTGCATATCATTTACTTTTCTGTATGTTTTATTCAAATAAAGCTTTCCGATTCTACACATAAATTCAAAGCCATTTATTTGTGCTTTAGCCCAGTTATAGAGTTACTTGCGCTTTTAAATTTATTTTTTAATATTTAACTAATTACTTGCTTTCTTCCTATCTGTTGGTCATTATTATTATTTGCTCAAATTTCGAATAGATGTTTTTGTAGACGTGATTTTTTTTTAATTTGCAGTTTTTGTAAAAGTTTACGACCACTGCAGTTAACTCGCCTTATACAAGCATAGAAAAAGTCATAGGATAATCCACCTTTCCAGAACTATTTAGGTAATAATAAAACGATATCGACTGGAAAAGAGTTCAGTTTAAGGAAATGCGCTTCAAAATTACGGAAACAGAAATTTCGGAAAACTCACTGATTGAGTTTGCTACATAAATATACATATGTACATACATACATACGTATGTCTGAGTTTTTGATTGTTCTAAACATGAAATTTAAGCCAGGCGTTTTACTTAATAAATATATTCTCTATGCACTAGAATCTGTCCAAGGCGTTTTAAAAAAATTTTTTCATTATAGGTGCATGGATAATTTATCTGCAATATACATAAGTATATGTACGTACACAGGCCGCCTTCGATTCGCTACTTTTCTAACGAAAAATTTTGCATGTGAAGCCCCAAAAAAATTTGCTTGGTTTAGCATTCAACTCTTAGGCAAAAGTATTGTGCTGTAAGTAATCCATCAGTATGTTGGTATTTTGTGCGTTTAGATTTGTACAGTTAATGAAAAAGGAAACGATCAATGAACCTCTCAAGTGCCTGACTACCAAACTAAACTATGTAATACATATATGTATGTATGTATTAAGTTAAATTAGTCTTGGCGAGACAAAAAGATCGACACAGACCATATATTTGTCTACTTCAAAGACGCTTTCGACAACGCGGTGAGGAGTTGTCTATATGCCGCCATGTCTGAATTTGGTATCGCCGCAAAAATGATAAAATGACGTTGAGTAATACCACCAGCTCGATGAGCAATACTGCATAGTGTTGTTCGTTCGAATCGATATAGGCGCTCCAGCCATGAAAGTAATTACACACATATTCAAAATGGAGAAGGGCTTGGCTTCATTTGGCGTTTCCAATTTGCGTCAGATGGCAAAGAAGAGAAA